GAGAGAGAGGCTGATCTGAGGTAGGCCTCACGGTTCCGGCTTCTGAGAAGCAGATGAAGATGCTGGGGGCGGCCGGCAGCCCCTAATCCCGCTCCCCACAGCAGGTGCTAGGTGCAGAGGCGGCCGAGAGGCTTGGATTCGGGGGGCCTGAGCTTCCTCCGGGGCATGGGGTACCCCCGAGGCCGCCTACGGCTCTCCAACGCGGCGCCCTTGCAGCCAGGGGCGGAGGGGTCACCGTGTAGATGCGGGCCTACCCCGGGCAGTCACAGACGGTGTGGTTTTGTTTGGAGGGTGGGTGTCTCCTTTGTGTAAGGGTTTGTAACAGCTAGAATGTTTTGCCCCCCACGTGCCTAAAATTCTCTTAAGTCCAAAATCTGAAAAAACACTTTGGGGACAGCCCTCCAACGCTTCTACGTGAGCATTGGTCCTTTCATCTTTCTCAGAGTTACCTCTTCGAGGCCAACAGAAACTTTTTCAGTATGAATGTTTTCTGAAGGTTGACATTGCTTTTCTAAAATTGAAATATTTAAGTCCGTATCTTGGGGCGCCTGGGGGGCTCAGCGGTTGAGCCTGTGCCTTCGGCTCTGGTCATGATCTCCGGGTCCTGGGATCGAGTCCCACGTCAGGCTCCCTGTTCAGCGGGATGTCTGCCTCTCCCTCTCCATCTGCCTTTCCTCTCTCTCACGCTCTCTCACATACATAAATAAAATAAATAAATAAAAAAGGAAGTATGTATCTTATTTTAAAATATGCACTAAAAGATGTGTGTTTGAAATACCTTAAAAACTGAAATAAACGGTGAGAACAATTCATCCTCTGTCAGCCAATCAATAAGACTCATTGAGCTCCTGTCTGGGCTGGAGCCGCCAAGCGGCCTCAGTTGATTGAGGACCTGCCCCTGCTCCGGTTGATCAAATGTTACAAGAAACTTCAGGGTGGTTGCAGGCCATTTGTCTTTCAAGCTCATTAGACTAGCAAACGAAAAGCCCCATCAGGGGGGAAAAATGCTCCATTTTTAATCATCATTCTATTTAAAACCCTGTTGTTCTGCCTAAGTACCTGGAATGCCCCATACCTACGGTGGTAATTTCCAGAAAGGGGGAGTTTTTCAAAGGGTAACAGAGAGAAAGCTGAGAGAACGAGAAGTTAGGAGGTGCAGACGTCCATGCCCCCCCAGACTTCTTCCCATACGAGGCTGTTTCTCACTGCAGCTGACTCGAGGTACAAAGTCTGTAACTATAGATGGAAAAAGTGATACCACGAAGATTTTGTTTATGATGAGTAACGTAGCCTGCTTTCCTTACTAGCTCCGTGACCTCGTGGTTGACGTCGCTTGGAAATGGAAGGCCCGGCGGCACCAGGGGCCCGGGAGAGCAGGTCCGTGGCCCCGCCATCCTACACGCTCTTTCATAACTGGATTAGGGAGGGGCCCTGGCATCTGGACACAGTGAAAACCCACCAGGTGATGTAATACAACATTAGGATTGAGAACTACTGATGCGGGAGGAGGGGCTTTGCTCGAATTATCTGGAACCAACCCGTCCCCAGGCGCGTTAATGTGGCCTGCACTAGTGACACAGCGAATGTTTTGAAAAAGCTCTCCCGCTGAGGCTCACCCTGTCATAGACCCCAGTGTGAAAAATAAGTTCCTTTACGTGCTTGGCTTTGCTCTCCATTTGCAATTTCAGAAAAATAATGTTGGCAGGGGGTGGCTTTATTAAGCCACATAAAAATCAGTCAGCGTCATCAAATTATCTCTGCACTTCACGGCATATTCGTTTGTCATAATGTTTACAGCTGAGATTAGGAGATTTTGGGGACAGGAGCATAGGACATAGAGGTTTTGATGGAGGGAACGGGCAATCTCGAGGGTGTCAGACACCGTGGAGCCCTGTCACCCAGCAGAGGAGCACTGGAAAGGGGAAGGGTCGGCTTCATAATTGTACCTTGAGTGAGTCCCGGGTCTGTTTTTCTTACGCATCCTAAGATACCACGTAGAAAGCTGTACCTGCTGGGTCACTAAATACACTGAGGGTTTTGTCACTGACTATGGCCAAACTCAATCACTTTTAGATCATTCAACTTTCTTATTGTTTCTTTTCTTTTTTTTTTTTTTAAACATTTCTTTTTTTTTTTAATTTTTATTTATTTATGATAGTCACAGAGAGAGAGAGAAGCAGAGACAGGCAGAGGGAGAAGCAGGCTCCATGCACCGGGAGCCCGACGTGGGATTCGATCCCGGGTCTCCAGGATCGCGCCCTGGACCGAAGGCAGGCGCCAAACCGCTGCGCCACCCAGGGATCCCTCTTATTGTTTCTATCACCGTCTGATTAATGTGAACTTTACCCCTGGTAACTTGCAATAATAAAGAGATTTGGAAATGAGAAGTTATTTCTTTTTGATGCTGTATTTACATTTGTGGGTGGATGGGAACATGTGTAGTTTGCTTTGTGTGTCAACCTGACTGGGCCACGGTGTCCAGATATCTGGTTGAACATTACTCTGGATGTTTCTGTGAAGGTGTAAAGCAGAGCACCACACATAATGCAGGTGGGTCCCATCCAATCGGTCAAAGGCATTTCACACACACACACACACACACACACACACACACACCTTGTTGGTTCAGTTTTCTAGACAATCACGACTAACCCAGGCTTAGTCACTTTCACTTCACATGTGAAAAGCACGTTGGGTTCTGTGGGCTTATCTGCCCTAATTCCTGGTCACCGGGCCTGCAACATGAGCATTCCAGGGGAATCTGATAGAAATGCAAATCCTTGACCTTGTCCCAGACCTTCAGATTCAGAAACTCTGTGGTGTGGCTAGCAATCTTTATCTTAATATTTCTTCCCAATAATTCTAATGCACACTAAAGATGAGGAGCAATTGCCATAGGCCACAGGGAACCTTGGGAATCCAACCTCACTCTAGTTTTTACACGTATTCCATCTAGGTCAGAAGGAACATCCATCAGTGGTTCTTAAACGTGGCTGCACAGGCATGACGCTGCTCGCCCAAGACCAGGGCACATTACCAATTCCTCAAGCACTTGAACCAAAATAGACTCCTGGAAAACATCTCAAACTAGAAATGAAATCTGAATGACATGAAAGTTTCTTGTGTTTCGCCCAGAGGAGGGCTGGCGACAAGGAAGCAACTGTCCTCTCTGTTCATGCTACTCGTCTGGCACGGATGGGCCTAGCCTCTTTGTTCATGGAGCTGTGTCGTGTTTTCAATGATGTATTTGTGTGGAGAAAAACACCCACAGTTTCAGAAAGGTTTTAAATCAATTGTTGCATGCCCTCGTTCATGACTAGTGCTGTGTGTGATGCGAAGAAAAATACTGCCTTTGCGCTAGGCGCCTGTTCAATGCTGGGACTTTCTAAATATAATATCCATTGAATCTATTTAATGCTCGCCATGTTAATTACGTTGGGAACTTTTTCTGTTTTATTTGTCATTTTACACATAATTAAATTTGGGGTCTGGCTATGGCCATTGGTTACAGAATCATTTACAGATGTCTTATGACTGGTTTTTAATTCAACTTGCCAGTATCAGGGTCTGATTTTTGGGAAGGAAGTAAAAAAGAAAAAAGAAGAAAAAAAAGAAAGGAAAGAGAAATCAAAGGAATAGTTGAAGAATAGCTACAGTGACTTCTTTGTGGACTTCAAACATCTATCTGATTGATTTTGTGTGTTAACACGATCTTTGTGTTACTTGAGATTTTTAGTATAGCAGTGATTGTTCGAGCCCACAATATGGATTTGTCTTAAACATAATTGTGGGCTCTCTGTGCTGCTGGGTGGTAAAAATGTGCTGAGTACTTCCCTTTCTGTGAAAGCAGACTCACAGACACGAAGCTTGGTGTACATCCTATCTAGTGGCTTAGTCTCTTGCTCAGAGAGAATAATAACTTTTTCTCAGTTTAGAGATATACTTGGTGCTTATTTATGTTATGGGTGTAAAAGCCAGACTTTTAAACATCCTTTGTGCGCTTCAGAATCCTTGGTTATATGCTTTGTTTTTATTATATTGAATAAGAGAGCTGCCGAAGAAATCGATCAGTTAACTTAGAAAATGTGTCATTTCTTCAATGACCATTAGGCCGACACAGAAATCTATTCTTGGCAATCACATCACAAGAATTCCTATGAAACAGTCTATACTGGAGAAACAACTGGCCTATTTCCTGTTAATTATAAAATTATTGGCTGCAGAATAAAGAATAGCATTACTGATCTTCTCCTTAACGAGGCTCTTAACTTCATCTATGGTTATTTGCGGACTAGTAAAAAATCTTTAAGTTATTGTTATTGTGAATTCAGTGGAAGAGTGCCCTTAAAAGTATGAAATATAAAAACAATCTAAAAAGTATAAAATTTCCCCCCAAACAGTAAGAATCCAAGGAGGTATAATATATACACAGTAAATTCACTCTTATAATTAGCTTAGCTGCGATTGTTTCGTTGAACCTAACACATTTTCTCTGAAGTGGGAGTAAATAACCCTAGATAAGAGACCACCTATTTATCTTCTATCAGCTGTTACTAGATGAAAACATTCATAAAAGAACTTTACACATTAATACACTAATAAAATCATGTTTTATATTTATGTGTGTTCATGCGTGTGTGTCTGTATGAGAGCGAGAGCGAGAGCGGGAGCAAGCTTTTCAACGGGTGGTGACTTAGCCATGTGGATGTTTCATACAATGTTAAGAGCACGGTTCAGAAAGAATTGGACGCTCCTTAGGTCTGCGTGCCAGTTGACACTGGCTCTCAACCCTTCTCATTCATCTGCCATGACGATCAGTCAATAGAAGGTGACCAGAAATGCTGGTTCTGCAGCGGCATCATAAAGCTTCGCATCGGTTACCGTAGGTATTTAGTTCTCGGGACGAGGGAGGATGTATGTATGTCACGGGGGAACTGCTTTTCCTTTTAAAAATAAAGGTTTTCTTAAGAAATTCGTTCTCACATTTATGTCACCTTTACTTACTCCTCGTCAAGGAAAAGGAAGAGGTCATCGCTGATATAGTCAGGCGAAGTAACCTGTAAAAGTACGCGGTAAACAGCAACACAACTTTCACATTTGAGTATATTCTAGTTTCTGAGGGAAAGAGAACCCACAAATATCGCTGACAAAGCAAGTGATCCATTTAAAGGGACTGGAATATTAATATGATCTTTCAGCGATGGTTTGAGGCAGTAGACAACTCTGAAAGGAGGTGATGAATTTCCTAAAGAAAATCTCAGCCAATATATATTATTTATACAGCTTCATCACTTTTCTCTTGTCTCTTCCTGGTCTTTTTTTCCTTGTGCATGAACATTTTGCGCGGCACTGTCCCACTTAGCCCTCTGAATGCATTAGCTCCTAAGGATGAATAAAAACTAAAAAAAATTCAAATATAGTTTGAATCAGACCGCATTGTCTTTGTGACAATAAAGTCTTCAGTGCGCTGGAACAGACAACACAGCTGCAGAGGGTTTAAAAATGTTACATAGGGGATCCCGGGGGGCGCAGCGGTTTGGCGCCTGCCTTTGGCCCAGGGCGCGATCCTGGAGACCCGGGATCGAGTCCCACGTCGGGCTCCCGGTGCGTGGAGCCTGCTTCTCCCTCCGCCTGTGTCTCTGCCTCTCTCTCTCTCTCTCTGTGACTATCATAAATAAATAAAAATCAAAAAATAAATAAATAAAAATGTTAAATAGGGGATCCCGGGGGGCTCAGCGGTTTAGCGCCGCCTTCGGCCCAGGGCGTGACCCCGGGTCCCCGATCAGTCCCGCGTGGGCCCCGCGGGGAGCCTGCCTCTCCCGCTGCCTGGGTCTCGGCCTCTCTCGGTGTCTCAGGAATAAATAAATAACGTCTTTTTAAAAAAATTTAAAAAGGTAACTAATGGAGTGGAGAAGAACTTGAAATTGCTGACGTGTGTGAAAGGCTGGAGCAGTAGTGATCGGATGAACAGGGCCGAGGGACGACCGTGGGGCCTCGCGCGGCGGGACGGGCCAGCCCTGGGTGCTGGGGGGGGGGCTGCGGAGGGGAACCTGCGGGGGGAGTGCGGAGTCGGGCGGTGAGGACCCCAGACGGGGCGTGGGTGCGAGCGACCCTGGGGACAGGTCTCCGTCTTGGTCAGGAGTGTCCTGGGAACCATCCTACGGCGAGGCGGGTCGTGCTGCACAGAAGGGGCCGCGGACAAAGTCGGGTCGCGCTAGCCTGCCCCGTGATTTCATCCCGGGGGCGGGAGGCCCGAGGCCGGTGCGTGGAGCGGGGGGGGCGTGCACTCGGGGAGGTGCGGAGGCGCGGGGTGCGTGGGGAGTGGGCGGTGCAGGGGGGGGCGTGCACTCGGGGGAGGTGCGGAGGCCGGGTGCGTGGGACCGGGGGCGTGCACTGGGGGGTGCGAGCCGTGCGTGGACGGGGGTGCGTGCACTCGGGGAGGTGGAGGCGGGTGCGAGGACGCGGGGTGCGTGCACTCGGGGAGGTGCGGAGCGGGTGCGTGGACGCGGGGGGGCGTGCACTTGGGGGAGGTGCGGAGGCCGGGTGCGTGGGACGCGGGGGGGCGTGCACTCGGGGAGGTGCGGAGGCCGGGTGCGGGACGGGGGGGTCGTGCACTCGGGGAGGTGCGGAGGCCGGGTGCGTGGGACGCAGGGGTGCGTGCACTCGGGGGGAAGTGCGGAGGCCGGGTGCGTAGGACGCGGGGGGGCGTGCACTTGGGGAGGTGCGGAGGCCGGGTGCGTGGGACGCGGGGGGGGGTCGTGCACTCGGGGGAGGTGCGGAGGCCGGGTGCGTGGGACGCAGGGGGGGCGTGCACTCGGGGGAGGTGCGGAGGCCGGGTGCGTGACGGGGTGAGGGGACGGTGCGGGACGGGGGGGGGTCGTGCACTCGGGGGAGGTCGGAGGCCGGGTGCGTGGGACGCAGGGGGGGCGTGCACTCGGGGGAGGTGCGGAGGCCGGGTGCGTGGGACGCAGGGGGGGGTCGTGCACTCGGGGGAGGTGCGGAGGCCGGGTGCGTGGGACGCGGGGGGGCGTGCACTCGGGGGGAAGTGCGGAGGCCGGGTGCGTAGGACGCGGGGGGGGCGTGCACTTGGGGGAGGTGCGGAGGCCGGGTGCGTGGGACGCAGGGGGGGCGTGCACTCGGGGGAGGTGCGGAGGCCGGGTGCGTGGGACGCGGGGGGGGGCGTGCACTTGGGGGAGGTGCGGAGGCCGGGTGCGTGGGACGCAGGGGGGGCGTGCACTCGGGGGAGGTGCGGAGGCCGGGTGCGTGGGACGCGGGGGGGCGTGCACTCGGGGGAGGTGCGGAGGCCGGGTGCGTGGGACGCGGGGGGGGGCGTGCACTTGGGGGAGGTGCGGAGGCCGGGTGCGTGGGACGCGGGGGGGGGCGTGCACTCGGGGGAGGTGCGGAGGCCGGGTGCGTGGGACGCGGGGGGGCGTGCACTCGGGGGGAAGTGCGGAGGCCGGGTGCGTAGGACGCGGGGGGGGCGTGCACTTGGGGGAGGTGCGGAGGCCGGGTGCGTGGGACGCGGGGGGGGGGGCGTGCACTCGGGGGAGGTGCGGAGGCCGGGTGCGTGGGACGCAGGGGGGGCGTGCACTCGGGGGAGGTGCGGAGGCCGGGTGCGTGGGACGCGGGGGGGCGTGCACTCGGGGGAGGTGGGAGGCCGGGTGCGTGGGACGCGGGGGGGGGGTCGTGCACTCGGGGGAGGTGCGGAGGCCGGGTGCGTGGGACGCAGGGGGGGCGTGCACTCGGGGGAGGTGCGGAGGCCGGGTGCGTGGGACGCGGGGGGGGGGTCGTGCACTCGGGGGAGGTGCGGAGGCCGGGTGCGTGGGACGCGGGGGGCGTGCACTGGGGGAGTGCGGAGGCCGGTGCTGGAGGGGGGCGTGGGGAGGCGAGGCGGGTGCGTGGACGCGGCGTGCACTCGGGGGAGGTGCGGAGGCCGGGTGCGTAGGGACGCGGGGGGGGGGGCGTGCACTTGGGGGAGGTGCGGAGGCCGGGTGCGTGGGACGCAGGGGGGGCGTGCACTCGGGGGAGGTGCGGAGGCCGGGTGCGTGGACGCAGGGGGGGCGTGCACTCGGGGGAGGTGCGGAGGCCGGGTGCGTGGGACGCGGGGGGGCGTGCACTCGGGTGAGGTGCGGAGGCCGGTGCGTGGGACGCGGGGGGGGTCGTGCACTCGGGGGAGGTGCGGAGGCCGGGTGCGTGGGACGCGGGGGGTGCGTGCACTCGGGGGGAAGTGCGGAGGCCGGGTGCGTAGGACGCGGGGGGGGGGCGTGCACTTGGGGGAGGTGCGGAGGCCGGGTGCGTGGGACGCAGGGGGGGCGTGCACTCGGGGAGGTGCGGAGGCCGGGTGCGTAGGACGCGGGGGGGCGTGCACTTGGGGGAGGTGCGGAGGCCGGGTGCGTGGGACGCAGGGGGGGCGTGCACTCGGGGGAGGTGCGGAGGCCGGGTGCGTGGGACGCGGGGGGGCGTGCACTCGGGGGAGGTGCGGAGGCCGGGTGCGTGGGACGCGGGGGGGGCGTGCACTCGGGGAGGTGCGGAGGCCGGTGCGTGGGACGCGGGGGGGGTCGTGCACTCGGGGAGGTGCGGAGGCCGGGTGCGTGGGACGCGGGGGGGGGTCGTGCACTCGGGGGAGGTGCGGAGGCCGGGTGCGTAGGACGCGGGGGGGGGGCGTGCACTCTGGGGAGGTGCAGAGGCCGGGATGCGTGGGACGCGGGGGGGGGGCGTGCACTCTGGGGAGGTGAGGAGGCCGCGGTGCGTGGGACGCGGGGAGGCCGGTGCGCTGGGCCCCGAGCAGGCAGCCAGGGGGCTCCCGCGGAGGCGCTCCCGACGCCTGCTTCCTTAGACCTCGGAGGGGACCACCACGTGGATGGCACGCGGCCCGGGGGCGCAGGGAAGTCACACTCCGTGGTGCGGATGGGCCTCGGCAGCAGTTTTCCCGGCCTCCATCCGTCCTGTTGGTGCAGGGGCGTAAAGATAACTGGGAGCAAGTCCCGCTACCCGGTAAGGGGGGCAGTGGGCCCCCGGGGACTCAGCGGCCGCCGGGGAGGCCGCGCCGAAGCTCGTGCGCTGGGGCAGCCGCGCCCCTGGTTTACCGTCGGAGGGACGCGGGCCTGAACGGGCCGTTAGTTTCAGGAGTTTGGAGACAAGCGAACTTGAAATAGGACGTTTTCTTCTCACTGGTGGGTAAGCACAGGGTTGCTTAGAGCAATGGAATGAGGTGTAGATGCTTCACGTGTCCTAGTTGGGGTTAAAGATTTCCCTTCCATCTCAGCAGACTTATATTTGAGCTTATAAAAATGGTCCTGTAAACCTTTGGTTTCATTTCGGTTCTAAAATTCCTTTTTTTGTTATTTTTCTCAGGACCACGTGGCTCCTCTGCGGGGGGCGGGGGCGGGCCCGGCTGCGGCCTCCGGTCGCGCCCTGCGGCCTCCTCGGCCTCGCTCTCCTGCCGCCTCTGGGCATTTTCTGGGTCGGAAGGTTGTAAAGGAATAGGATCGTGTACACACGTGCAGTGCTCTGCTGCTCATAATTTTCTCCTACCTTGGATCCAAGGAGTTTCTGAAGGAATCTTCTTCGCTGCGCACGAGGGATTTGGAGCCCTGAGCCCTGAGCCCTGAGGAGTCGACGGTCCTTTCGGTGGGCGGAGCTGCTTACCTGCTGCTGGAGGCCCGTCCTGTTTATAAACCATCTTGATTTAATCTCTGCCATCTTTTTAAACTAAGCATAAACGATCAACCCTGTGATTTATCTCAAAAGGTAAAAACAAAAAACAAAAAAAACCCAATTCAATGGTCATTGAATTTTCTCTAATATATATCTTTAGCTTCGGATTTAAACGAGGGGCCGGGGGGATCCCTGGGTGGCGCAGCGGTTTGGCGCCTGCCTTTGGCCCAGGGCGCGATCCTGGAGACCCGGGATCGAATCCCACGTCGGGCTCCCGGTGCATGGAGCCTGCTTCTCCCTCTGCCTGTCTCTGCTTCTCTCTCTCTCTCTCTCTCTCTCTCTCTCTCATAAATAAATTAAAAAAAAATTTAAACGAGGGGCGGCCGGGTGGCCCAGTCTGTTAGGTCTGTTAGGCCTCCAGCTCTTGTTACTGGGTGGGGTTATGGTCTCAGGATCTTGAGAATGAACTGCCTGGGCTCTGAGCTTGGTAGAGAGTCGGCTTGGGGTTCTCTCTCTCACCCTCTGCCCCTCCTCTGGCTTGTGTGTGCTCTCTCTAAAGTAAATAAATCTTAAAAAAAAAAATGACGTATAGAAAAGACTCACTATATGTAGCACACACACAACCAAGGACTTTGAGTATCAAAAAGTCACTTCTGGGGATCCCTGGGTGGCTCAGCAGTTTAGTGTCTGCCTTTGGTCCAGGGATCGAGTCCCACCTCAGGCTCCCTGCATGGAGCCTGCTTCTCCCTCTGCCTGTGTCTCTGCCTCTCTCTCCCTATGTCTATCATGAATAAATGAATAAAATCTTTAAAGAAAAGGTCACTTCCAAGTAAATTAACCTTAAAGTCTGATAAGTAATCATCCTTATCTATATAACTACATATGTATCTATCCTTACATATATACCTGAATAAAATCCTATTATTTCTATTCTAGTGTATATATTACAATACCTATACTTCCTTCTTTAAGATATTCTATTTAGAGTACCTTCACCTGGAGTAGCTATTTTATAGGATCATAAAACTTCTAATTATTTTCGAGGCAGTATTTATTACCAATTCAAAGAATGTACAAGGGTAAGACCCTGCAAGCTCATCTTTAAATTTCTCTTCCTTTCATTTCCTCCATGCCAGCTCTGATCCTCCTTGCTCCTCCCCAAACAGCCGAGCACACTCCCAACCTGGGCCCTTGGCACTGGCTGCTGCTTCTCCGTCAAGTGCTGCTCCTTCAGACATTGTAGAGTTAGTTCCTTTGCGCTTTCCAGGTTTTCATCAAAATTCAGCTTCACCGCGAGCCGCCCCAGTCCACGTGTGCAACCTCAACAACCTCCCATTTCGTGCCCTCCCTGCCCACATTATCTTCTTCTTGCCACTGACTACGAACTAACGCAGCAGGCACACTATCTGCCTATTTTCTACCTTCCTTACCACAGTTCAAGCCCGTTAGGGCAAGACTATTTTTCACTATCATACTGTCAGCCGAGTGGAGCGTGGGCACGTCTAAGAGCTCTGTATGTTTGTTAACTTGGTGACTAAAAAAAACCAAAAAAACCCGATTCCATGATGTCTGGACTTATAACTGGGTTTTCCTTTTTTCAAATGTGTAGTCTTTGCTCAGTGTAAATCTCTCCTGTGTGTAAGTTCAAACTAAGAATTTTTGGAAAGCACAGAATTAGGTTAAAAACTATGATGTTGGAGATCTTCATTGTAAATAGAGGGTCAGTGTATTAAACTTGTACACGCTTTTTTGTAAGACCCTTGGATAAGTAAATTATATTTTTTTTGTCATAGGGCTTTCTTTATTTTTGTTCTGAAGAATAAATAAGTAAATCAGCAGAAAAAATATTTAGATAGGTGGTATGCAATGACACCTTAGGGAAATGTATTTGATGACTTACAATAAACTATGTTCCAAGCAAATTATAATTGCTGCCCAGGAGAGAAAAGCAAAATCCTAAGAAATTGTTTCTGCCTTTATTTGGTGGGAATTGTGTGCACATAATGCACTTGACAAAAAAAAATGACAAAGGAGAGGTAAAACTATTCATAGCAAAATATTTATAATTTCACCATTGGGTATGAGTTAAATGAGTCTGCCTCAAATGGAGGAAAGTCATAAAATTTTTCAAAAACGGTTCCTAGAAAAAGTAATGAGAGTTGGCCTATTTTTTTCCAAAAGCCTGTTCTTTGTGCCTGGCGCCATGGTAAGGACTTTGCACACATTCAGATGCTAGATCCTCCAGCAACACTGTGCATTGGATACTATTTTCTCCATTTTGCAAATGAGAAAACTGGATCTCAGCGAGGTGTGTACCTTTCCTGGTTACCGTAGGTAGGATGGAGACTCTGCCCTGAGTGGGCCTCTTAACTACCAAACACATTGCTGTGTGTGGAGGCCATTGCTTGGACGCAGGCCTAATAGCAGGTGCGGTCAGCCTTTTCTGGCTGTGTTAACTCACCTCCATGGGGTTAGACATCCTCAGGGTACCCCTTAGGATTCAGCTGCCCAATTGATAGCAATAGTGATTTCATAGCAACTTTTTAGCATCCAGTTTGTCATAGCCAAAAGAAGAAAACACCAAGTCATGGTAAATGTAGGGTCTCTACTTGATCTGAGTTCCGAAGTCAACGTTCTGGCTAGACAGACTGAGAAAGTCAGCTTTATAGAGCAGACAATTGACACAGAGAAAGGAAGTCAAGAGAGAGTGAATTCGCCTTGCTGATGCATGGTTGGAGAATCTCCCTGGCGTCCTGTCTGTCCCCTCGACAGTGAAGTGTGCACCCTGTGGGTAGAAACAAAGGGAGCCACGGAGCAGGAAAGCCAATGCTAGGCCAACGACCACAAAGCACCAGTAGCAACAACGATGGAGATTTGTTGGAGTTGGGTCTGGGTGTAGTAAACGTTTGAAATTTTGGCAGAGATGATGGAGGTTTGCACAGACGGTGTCCAGACAGGAAGGTCTTGGAAGAAAACATTTGCTTGTTTGCTCTTTTTCTCAGTTGTGATCATTCCTTTATTTTTATTCTTATTTTATTTTATTTTTTTTTTGAGAGAGAAAGTCTTTCAGGCTCTCTTTTTTCCAGATTGTTTTTTCCTTTGATCCTCAATAGCAGCTGCCTAAGGACTGCCTATGGGATGTTTTCAAGCAGACTTGATCATGGTGACCAGTTCTGTTGGTTTGGATGCTATCAAACAATGATTTCTTTTTTTAAACTCTGGGGAATATAATTTTTTTTGGGGGGATATAATTTATATATATATATATATACTTATATATATAAAATTATATAATTTATATATAAATATATTTATAATATATATTATAAATTAATAACCTTTTCTTCTTTCTCTCTTTTCTTTGTTTGAATTTCCCTGGCTACTCTTAAAACTGTACCCACTTTTCCCTAGCTGTGAAATTGTTCCTATGTTGTTGTGTTACATTAGTCATCACCTGTTGTGGATTTTATATTTTGTGATAGTCATTTAATCTGTTATCGCGTAAGCAGGTTCAGTTCGTTTCCTTCAGTGACCTACCATGCTGGAACGGTTGAAAAAGAAAAAGGCCAAGTTCCCTTATGAGAGTTTTAAGCCAAATTCCCTCTGTCCAGCTGGCTCCTGCTACCAAGCCAGGAAAATGTAGAGTCTCTCTATTTCCTGCTGATTTGTTTATAGTGGCCCTTGATTGCTATTAACAATCCCCAGCTGCACCAGCTACCTCACCCAGTCTCCCTTCCACTGCTTCTACCCTCATTAACCCTTTGAGGTCAGTTCCTGCTTCCCTGCTCTCTGAACCTTCTCAGTTCTTGGCAAAAGAAACCAAACTTTATTTTTGAGCACTTCTTAGAAATCTGTAAGGACAAAAATAATTAAATCTATCACATGGGGGTAAATGACAATGCTGAGTGATTCTAGAAAGGGCTTTTTTGACTTTCATTTTTCTTAATTTCATAACTCCTGCAACCATATAGGTGCTCATTCTCATTCACTTTTAAGAGAAATGAACGCTGAAGCATCTAAAAATACAAAAGTTTCATGGATGCATATATTCCTATGTATTTCAGATTGTGTTTTGGAGATATTGTGGGTATAGCTTTGTTGAACCTGTAAGATTTTCACTACTGAGAGCCCACTCTTGACCACCTACCACATCCCACTCCCTCCCCGCACATGCTATTTTAAGTGCCCAAGACATAAATAAAAATATCATAGCATTCACAATCTCCATTATGTTCAGAAATGGATGTTTCTACAGCTTCTGTCTGAAGTAGATGGAATGTTCTGTAAAGGAAAAAAAATCCACAAAATGAATGGAATGAAGAACAATTCAACTGACATCCTTTTTTGCATCTAGGTTAAGCTCAAAGCAGATGTAGCTCCATGAATTAAACTGAAGTGAATTAAAGTGTCTTTTGCCTTTGGTATTTTTCTGTGTCCTCTTTTACTACTCTTTCCCCTCTTTCCAACTTACATATTAAGCTACAAATTCTTCTTAAGATTTTTGAAAGTGCCTTTCTGCCTTGTAGTAGGATGCTTGACCATGAGAGCTAACATCCACACCACGTGTTCTAACTGCCAGGTCCAGTAGCAGAGACTTTACATGCATTTGCACTTTATTTCTCACAAAACCTTCTGAGATAGATGTTTCGATCATTCTCCTTTATAGAGGGAGACACTGAGAGGGGTTGGGTAGAAACATCATCTGGGCAGGTTTTTCTTGAGAAGTAATTGGACAAATGAAATATCTAAGTGTTTTTCTCCAAGCAGAAGTCCTAAAGCTAAAGTCACTGAGGAAGAAGGCTCTGCAACCATAAGTGTTGCTTTATGGGAAAGAATCTGAGAAGTGGGCTCAGGGGGGCCTGGCTGGTACAGGGCAGCAGCAAAGCCTGTTGGCAGTAGCAATGGAAGGCTGCCGAGATCACATTCATCCAATAAGCTCAACTCTTTTCCTTTCCAAGAGAGGAAGAACAGATCGTCTCTGCTTCCCTCCTTGATGGTAGGAGAAAAATCTCCATATAATAGGTA